TCTTTGACAGGAGAGTTTATGGGGTCAAGACCTGTCTCGACCCACCCAGTTTCTCCTTCGAAATCTTGAGAAAGTTCTGCACAATCGGAAAAGCAGTGAGTCGATAGTTTAACAAGACGTGTCAATCGGCATCAACAAATCAGTCGAACAAGAGAAAATACCTTCAAGCTTCAAGACCAACTTCGCAGCAAGCTGCCCTAGATAAGACTCTAATTCACATTTCTTGGACTTGAGGCTCCCAACTTCGTCAGTCAAGCTTTCCTTGTCCTTCTTTAGTCGCGCAACCTCCTATGCTGTTTTCTCTCGCGCCTCCTTCTGGGCCATAGCAAGATCCTGATCCTTCTTCTCTAGAGCCTGCTTCGTTTTCTCTAAAGAAATAACATTCTTCAGACAAGATTGAAGCTCACGGTTTTCAGTATGCACATTTGTTCGAATGAAATCACTCGGTTCAAAGAGTCTAAAAAAGGAGAGTGAGTCACAAGGTGGACAGTTGATGATTGGTTACCTCCCATGATAGCTACTTTGTCCTGAGCATTCTTGAGGTTCTTCTTGGCCAATTCCAGATCAAGGTTGAGGCTGATCTGCTTCTTATCCAGTTCAGAAAGTTGGGCTCCAAGATCACAAGACTTTTGCAGTCAGCAAATAAGATATGTCAGTCAACGGAAACAAAAGTCAATCACAGTGAAAGTTGCTCTAAGACTACCGCTGAATCAAACATTCAACAGTAGTCTCGGGGACTACACCTAGTGGGTGCACTTAGCGTGCCCCCACTGGTTCGGTTTTACACTCGGCATGGTCCACCCAACATGAGTAAAGAAAAGGAGATTCTAAGACCCCAACCAACTACCAGCAGTCAACCATGGTCTCGGGAACTACAGGCAGTGGGTGCACTCTGCGTGCCCCCACTGGTTTGGAAAAACACTCTTCTCAACCTAGTCGATTCAAGTGGAAGAACTATTCAGCTCTAAGACAAAAACACCCTAGTGGGTGATCGGATGTGAAATACAGACCCATGATAGATGCACATAGTAGGTTCCAAAACGCTCATCCAAGAACACTGTATGGACAATGAAGCAACAATGGCAACTATCATTACTCAAGAGACCAGTCGGAAATCAACTAACCTTGACATTCGCTTGCACAGTGGTGCTGGCATTGTAAGCAACCTGACTGGCCTCATGCACCACCTTCATCTGCTCCATCACGAGATTTACCTGGAAAAGAGCCTCCCTGGCGGCACTAGGTGTGTCGTCTAGAGTCTGGTATGCAGCGAAGAGCAATGATGGCAGTGCAGTCGGAGCAGTCACAGGGTCGGATGCATGGAGTTGTACTAGAGCGGTAGAGGTCTGAACAGTCGACCCCGATGGACGGTCAGTCAACAGTGGATTGGCAAAGGTAACATTGGTCCAAGCCGGATCACCGGATCGCTAGACCACTGTCTCAAGCACCGATGTCTACTGAGGCACCTGACCCTCGGCTGTTTTCCCTCTTGACGCCCTGCCCCTCCTCCTCCTCTCTCTCAGAGGCGCTTCTTCTTCATCATCCGGAAGCTCAATAACGTCCTGTGGAGCTGCAACAAAAAGCAACCTTAAGAGTTCAATCAGCGAACAATCCAGTCCGCGGAATAAAATTCAAGTTGGATAGAGCGTACCAGCTTTCGAGTTGGCCGCGTCATCGGTCTCCTCATCACCTGGGGCCTTGTCAATGTCCATATCCATCACAGAAGTTGCAGGCCTAGAAAAGTTTATAATCCACTCGGTCAGAACAGAAGTATCAATCGGCGGAAGAAAACATAGAAAGATAGAGCACTCACCCAGAGGCAACAGGAACGTCCATCTTGATCTTGGGCAAGGTCTTCCGAGCCTTCAAAGGAGCGACCTTGGGCTGCTTGGCGACCTTCTCCGTCGGCTCCAGGGTCGAAATCCGAGTGCGCTTCTGTGCTTGAGTACTTGGAGCCACGGTCTTGCCACGCCCGCCCGCTGGATCTTGGAGTTGTTTGGATTGACACTCCGTGCGAGGTGGTGAGTCGACTATATCATCATCATCTGACTCATCACTTTCTTCCTCGTCGTCGTCTTCCGGAGACTACCAGTCGCCGCTTTCTTTTGCGCTGTCCTCTCCCTCCTGGTCTTCCTCCAGAGCTTGTTCACTGTTGGGCACCGAGTACATCTCGGTATAAACCTACAAGACAAGAAGTCAAACAAATATCAGTCGGATTCAGAGATAGTTGCAAAACATATTGAAGTACAGTCGGTATAAGAGATCAGACCTTGTCTGGCTGGTTGTTGGCACTGAATGCGTCGACTCTCCTGCCTCCACTGGGGTTATCCTTGTTTCCTGTAATACCCTTCAGCCACATGGCCACCGTCTCAGCCGTAACCTCCTCTGGATGAACCCGAGCGGTGTCGTTGGCTCCAGAGTACATTCACATCGAGTGGTCACGAGCCTGGAGCGGCTGGATGCGTCGACTAAGAAACACCTCCAACAAGTCCATGTCGGTTACACCCTGATTGATCAACTGAACCACTCTCTCAACCAACATGTTTGTTTCCACCCTCTCCGCAGCGGACACTTTCAGCGAAGAAGGTTGCTGGGCGCGATCTAAAGAGAAAGGGGGGAGACCGGTCGACTGACCGGGAGTTGCAATATCCTGGCAGTAGAATCAGGTCGACTGCCAGCCCCCGACCAACTCGGGAAGTGTCATGGAAGGGAAAGTGCTCCTCTTCCTCTTGTGGATCCCAAGCCCCCACACAATTGGATCATGTGCGTCATCTTGTCACTAGAATTCTCTTTCTTCACCGACTGGAAGCGGATTGTGAAGATGTGCTTGAAAAGATCCCAGTGCGGTCGACAACCCAGGAAGTTTTCACACATGGACACAAACACGGCGAGGTACCTAATGGTGTTGGGAGAGAAGTGATGGAGCTGAGCTCCGAAAAAGTTCAATAAGCCCCTGAAAAAGGATGCAGAGGAAGGGAGAAACCACAGTCGACATGGGTGGCGAGCAGGACACACTCACCCGGCCACGGCTGAGGCTCCGTCTCCCCCTTTGTCTGCCTCGCAGCTCCGTCAACAATCAGAACGGAGTCGGACAGCTCCTCCAAATCCTCTGGCCGGAGCGAAGATCGGATCCATTCGCCCTGCATCCAACCCGGCGGCGGCACGGACCTCGACGATGACCCCTGATTTGTCTTCTTGCCTTTTGCTGCACCCATCACCTTCTTCGCGCGTTCCAGCACCGCTGTCTTGTCCTTCACCATGGTGGTGGCATGGCAGCGTCGAGAGCAGAGGAGAAAGGTGCGACAGAGAAGCAGAGAAGAAAGAGGGAGGACGGATGCGCACAATGCAGATACCTCGGCCCCGACGCTTTTTAAGGACCCACTTCCTAGTGGCTGACGCGTGGGCCCGAGCAATCCTGTCAAATCCCACAACAGTCGCGCGCTAGGTACGTGGTGAAAAAGGTGGCATGGAAATCGAGGTTCCCATGTCTATCCATCCCGCTTACTACGGCACGCTCCACCTTGCGCGCTTCCCCAAAATTTTGAATCCCGCGAGATTTGGGATACGCCATAACCAATCGTGCCAAAGATTTCGCGTCAAAGTAACGCTCAAGGAGTGCCAGGATAAATCCACTCGACAACTTCAGAATCGATCAAGGCGAGTAAAACAAAGTCGAAGTCCCAACATGGGCCTCTAATCCAACACGGGTATCTGTGAAGCACGAGAGTCAAGGCAAGATTAACTTCAACCTTCTTTTCACTCGGACCTCAATCCATTCGGGGGATAATGATGATGATATAGACCTAGGGTAGGGTCATAGGCCTGACCTATATGCCCTACCCAAGGTCACTACCATAGAAGCAAAGATACCCAAGAGACAACAGGGAGTATCAATTGAAGGCAACGAGTGCAATCCACTCAACCAGTCATATCACTCGGGTACCCCTCCCTCCTGATATCACTCGACCCGACCATACAAGAAACCACTCGACCTACTAAAGACCACGAGTCACTCAGGACAGCAATGGTCAGGCGTTCACTCCATGGTCGTCAAGATCATTAATAGCACTTTATAGTTGGCGTTATCGGTAATGCCTTATCTTTATGTACATTGAACCCCTGTAATAGAGGTGGGCTGGGTCTTGGCGCACTCTATATAAGCCACCCCTCTCCTCTGGGAAAAGGGTTCGCACCCCCTGTAACACACACTGCCATATTCTAGTCGACCGCCTCAGGGCACCGAGATGTAGGGCTTTTACCTCCTCCGAAAGGGGCCTGAACTCGTAAACACTTGCGTACAATCTCACCATAGCTAGGACCTTGCCTCCTCATACGTACCCCCTATACTTACTGTCAGACTTAGTACCACCACACTCGACCCGCCTCGCCTCTCTGAGGACGGTGATGTCCTCGAGGTGGTTCAGCCTTAGCTTCATCTCCCCGGTGCTGGTGAATCTCCAAACAAATCTCCAGATGGTTGCTAGGATGCGGTTTGGTTCCTTGTTCTTGTGGTTGTCGTTGTTGTGGTATGAGAAAAATTCGAGGTCCACTTGTTCCAACTCCGGTGGCTATGAACTAAATGAGAACGGCCGGAGATATCCCTTGTATCTGAAGCGATGTAGCCATCAGGTTGATGAGCTTGTTACCGTCGTCACTGTATGAGTGGCCATGGTGCCCATGTTCCTTATCCTCCCACATGCACCTCTCCAGCACGAGCACGGTGCCGCTGGGCATCGGAGGCGGCAGGGTGCAGCTTCTTTGGGCGGCGATGGAGGTGCATCGTCGTCGTGTTCGTCGCTGGAGTCTGAGCGGTCGACGTTACCACTGTAGCCCCAGCAGTTGTCGTGGCATGGTGCGTCGATGAGGATGGACTCGAGGCGGACAGCGGCGAGCACCAGTGCGGCATCGATGATGCTCTGGAGAGAGAAAATGTGCTGACCACAATGCCGCAGCCGGAGCGACGACAGCCTCGGGAGCACGATAGTGGCGGCCTTCTTCGGCTAGTAGAGGCCCTGGCAGTTGGTGAGATCTAGCATGCGGAGGGTCTCCCACGGTAGGTTGTCGATGGTGAGCGTGTAGGTGCCTATCCAATCCCAGATGATCTCTCCGTCATAGTACGCGTCGCTCATCCATTCTTTGGCGACCAGCCGGATCTCCTCCACGCGCCGCGCCACAGGGTGGGCGAGCACCATGTCGACCAAGTTTTCCTCGGGTGTCTCATACCTGTAGGAGCTGACGATCATGAACTAGGAAACCGCGGCGTCACTGTCAGACTTGAGGCGTAAGGTGAGTCTGGTGACATGGTCATCGACGGCCGCGGTGTCGAGCGCCGCCATGGCCGCGGAGACGAAGGCTTTGCGCTGGGAGACAAATCCAGCCATGTCATTGTTTTTGTCAATGTTTCGGCGGTGGTACTGGCGGTCGTAGTGGCGGACACATGTCTCGAGGTTTACGGCGCCGATGGAGCGCCAGAGCGGCGTGCACTAGCGCCGCCAGAGTGCGGTCGTGGAGGCAGCCTCCTTGGCTGGGGCGAAGTGCAAGATGCGCCGGAGGAGGTCATCGGGGAGGTTTCACAAGTGGCCGTCGCCGATCATCGTCTCGGTCAGTGGCGTGACCAGCGATGCGATCGCGATCGGTTTTATCTTCCAGTCATGGGGATATTCATACCCGAGTGGGTTCGAGTCCATAAACGTCAACGGTCACTAGTAGAAAAAGACCCATTTGTCCTGGTTCTAGAGGGCGTTTAGTCACGGTTCTGGAACCGGGACTAAAGGGACGGTACTAAAGGCCCCCCCTTTAGTCTCGGTTCTTCTATGAACCAGGACTAAAGGCCCTCCACGTGGCTGCTGTCTGGAGCCCCACCTTTAGTCCCGGTTCTTCTACGAAATTTTATTTTTTGAATTTTTTTAATTTTTTTTCCATTTTTCAAATTTGTTAATTATTTTATAGTTTAATCTCTAATCACCACTCATCATTCCAAATCATCTAACTTCCCGGCCGGTCACCCATCCTCTCACTACTTCATCCTGACACTACTAGGGAAAACTCTAGTAGTAGCGCGGGTTTAATGCTCACTAGTAGCTCGGGACACCATGCTACTAATAAGGCGCTACAACTATTGCTTAGCAGTAGCGCGTGTGACACGCGCTAATGCTAAGACATATAGCCGCAGCGTGTGTTCACTCCTGCGCTACTGTAATCTAGCTAGTAGAAGCGTGATTACTATCCATCGCTACTAGTATTATTTTTTTCATTTTTTTACTATTAGTGTATTTATACGCTGTTATACAAATTTTGGTACAATACCAATTATGAGGTTTATATCATTATGTCCATAATAGTGTGCCAAATGAAGGTGGATTAGGTTCAAGTGAAGGCAACATGTGGTGCATGTCAAAAGTATACTACTAATCCAAACTTGATCTAGTTTGGACTAGTAGTACTTTCGATGTGCACCACATGTTCACTACTAGGAAATAGGCTACTAGCAGCGTGGGTAAAATGGCTACTAGCAGCATGGGTACCCGCGCTACTACTATCGCGCTACAACTAATAGTTAGTAGTAGCATGTCTATAATACCAACGCTACTAGTATACTAAATACTAGTAGTGAGTTATTTGTTCCCGCGCTACTACTACCTTATTGGAAATTAAATAAAATAAAATCAATCAATTTCGTTCTCTCACATAATTGCCACATCTACTATCAGAGTTCCTCATTGTGGAGGCAACTCATGCATAATTCA